TTATCATATAATTATATATATTTTTCTGTATGGTGATTAGGTACAATGTGAATTATTTTTTGATATTTATAAATAGCTCATGTTATTATAAGGGGTGAGAACTGTGAAGTTATGTTTGATCGTTACTTCTACATTGGTTTTTATCATAACAGCCATTAATATGTGGCAGTGTCACACCACTACATACAAAGCAAGCTAGAAATAGGCCTGTTAAGCTTCTTTGTTAATAGTCACAGGCTGGGGAGCGACAACACTTGTAATCAGGGCTTTTTTTTCTCTGAGATGAGGTTCAAGAACTCCCCCTTTCGAGTCACCCCCCTTGTTTCCACACCCTACCCCCCCTCTGAGTACTACTTGTTGGTTCCACCCCTTACCTACCTCCCAGTACCATCCATTTTAGAGAATTCAGAACCAAGAATCATTGGTGGTACTAAGTAATTTGTATGGAATTTGTTATTGGTAACAAGAAAAGCAGTAAAATACATCCCCTGCAATCAACAACAATAGACTCCCCCAACAACAATAGACCCCCCAGACAACAAAAGACCCTCCTGCAACATAATAACCCTCCAGCAACAATAGATCCACCCCAGCAACAATAGATCTCCCAGCATCCAGAATCAATAGACTTCCCAGCGGCCAACAAAAATAGACCCTTCCCTCAACAGTAGATCCCTCCCAGCCACAATTGACTCCCCCAGTATCAATAGATCCCTGAACATACCCCAGCACCCCTTTCTATTACATGCTGGAGGTGTCCCCTGCGTTCCCGCTGAAAAACAGCCCTGCTTGCAAGTATTGCTTACCTGCAGCTAAGAAAAATTCAGGTCTCCTGCCCTGACAGACACGCTTTGTTGTGTGGCTGAACTTTCTAATTCTTAGAACTGGTCAACACCTTGAACTTGTTGTGTTCCTCAAACCATTCTTGAACCATTTTTGCAATGTGTGCATTACCTTGTTGAAAGAGGCCACTGCAACCGGGGAATACCGTTTCTATAAAGGGGTGTACTTGGTCAGCAATATTGTTTAGGTAGGTGGTACATGTCAAAGTAACATCCACATGATTGGTAGGACCCAAGGTTTACCAGCAGAACATTGCCCAAAGCATTGCACTGCTTCCACTGGCTTGCATTCTTCCCATAGTGCATAGAGCTCAAATGGAATCATAAACTATCCAACAATGAATAGTTGCTTACTTTCACATGTTCAATACTAGTATTTGCTGGCTGATGATCTCATCTCGTTCGACTATTATTATGCACTACTTCTGAATAATTTATTACAAATTTTTGATAACCTTCAGATTCTGATTAATACATTGGTATGAAGAGAGAATGCGAGGGAAAGCCTTATAATATCTGACTTACTCTGGGCAGACATGACATCTAGCACGGAGTGGGATCTCTCATTGGAGAATCTCATCCCTGTGTTCACAAATTAATATAAATATGGGATTTTAACTGGTTGTCAGTCAATCATCTATTGGTGTTACAGAAAAAAAAGTAGTTATTGTACCAAGTGTGGATGAGGGAGAAGATACAGACGAGGACTATGACGATGAAGATATAGAGACACCTTCATCTAATACTAGAGATAAATAATGTGCTTATTTGTATGTTTTAATTTATAAAATAGATAATGGCAAAAAAAATTTTAAGTTTTGGATAGAATGGAGAGAAATTAGGACACCTATCAAGTTTGTATTGCTGCCTGTGCCCCCGCTAAAGAGATTGATACCATGATCTCCAAAAGTAAAAGAAAATCCCAAATTTTGGGTTTTCCCAACAGGAATAGAGGGTAAATCTTCCAAATGGGATACACATGACCTAGGTTAAGAGGACTTTGCACTTAAAGCAAGGCCTGTATATTTAGTGTGGACTTGTTTGCTAAAATACTGCCCTAAACTGCCAAAAAGAAACTAGGGGGAAAAGTGCACCAAATTCCACCCTGCTTGGATAAAGAAGGGAAAGATTAGAAGCTTTGTTGGATTTTTATTAGTGTCATCCCTTCTGGGTATTAATTCATCACTCTATACGTCCTTGTGACCATTATCTCCTAGACAGAAAGTGCTGAGACATCCAAAATGTTATGGTTTTCACCAGAACAAGAGGTGGGGGTAAACCTTCTAAAGGGACAAATGTTTAGTTGTTATCTGTTTAGGAGCAGATTTTCCCTCACTTTCCTTGCACGTGCAGGACAGGAAGTGTCAATAAATCTCCCCGAGACACAGTCAGAAATCAACTGAAAGGGGTTTTACAGAATATGTTACCACCACGTTTCAGATTCCTGATACAGTTGCAAGAAAAAGTATGTGAACCCCTTGGGATTACGTGGAGTTTTGCATGAATTGGGCATAAAATGTGCTCTGAACATCATCTAAGTCACAACAATAGAAGAACACAGTCTGCTGAACATAATTCTACACAAACATTAGATGTTGCCATGGTTTAATTGCACATAACATGTAAACATTCACAGTGCAGGGAGGAAAAAAGTATGTGAGGCCCTAGCTTAATGACTTCTCCCAGAGCTAATTGGAGCCAGGAGTGAGCCAACCTTGGCTCCAATCAGTGTGATGATATTGGATGTGTTGCTGACAGCTGTCCTGCCCTTAAAAAACACACACCTGTTTTGGGTTTACTGGTTTCAAGAAGCACTGTCTGATGTGAACCATGCCTCGCATAAAAGAGCTCTCAGAAGACCTACGATCAAGAATTGTTGACTTGCATGAAGCTGGAAAGGGTTACAAAAAGTATCTCCAAAAGCCTTGATGTTCATGTGTCCACGGTAAGACAGACTGTCTACAAATGGAGAAAAGTTTAGCACTGTTGCTACTCTCCCTAGGTGTGGTCATCCTGTAAAAATGACTGCAAGAGCACAGCGCAGAATGCTGCATGATGTAAAGAAGAATCCCAGAGTGTCAGCTAAAGACCTACAGAAATCTCTGGCACATGCTAACATTTTTGTTGACACATCTACAATAAGGAAAACATTAAACAAGAATGGAGTACATGGGAGGACACCACGGAGGAAGCCATTGCTGTCCAAAAAGAATATTGCAGCACATTTGAAATTTGCAAAAGAGCACCTGGATGTTCCACAGCACTACTGGGAAAATATACTGTGGACAGATGAAACCAAGATTGAGTTGTTTGGGAAGAACACACAGCACTATGTGTGGAGAAAAAAAGGCACAGCACACCAACATCAAAACCTCATCCCCACTGTAAAACATGGCGGAGGGAGCATCATGGTTTGGGGCTGCTTTGCTGCCTCAGGGCCTGGAAAGATTGCTGTCATTGATGGAAAAATTAATTACAGAGTTTATAAAGACATTTTGCAGGAAAACGTACGACCATCTGTCCGCCAACTGAAGCTCTGCAGAGGATGGGTGATGCAACAGGACAATGGCCCAAAGCATACAAGTAATTCAACAAAACAATGGCTGCAACAGCACAGAATACACCTTCTGGAGTGGCCAAGTCAGAGTCCTGACCTCAACCCGATTGAAATGCTGTGGCATGACCTTAAGAGAGTGATTCACAGCAGACATCCCAAGAATATTGCTACACTGAAACAGTTTTGTGAAGAGGAGTGGTCCAAAATTACTCCAGATCATTGTGCAGGTCTGATCTGCAACTACAGGAAACGTTTGGTTGAGGTTATTGCTGCCAAAGGAGGGTCAACCAGTTATTAAGTCCAAAGGTTCACATACTTTTTCCTCCCTGCACTGTGAATGTTTACATGTTATGTGCAATTAAACCATGGCAACATCTAATGTTTGTGTAGTATTATGTTCAGCAGACTGTGTTCTTCTATTGGTGTGACTTTGATGACGTTCAGAGCACATTTTATGCCCAATTCATGCAAAACTCCACGTAATCCCAAGGGGTTCACATACTTTTTCTTGCAACTGTATGTGCCTGTTGTACCATGTACTTGCATGAGAAAGTATCCTGTTCTCTTTGTATTGCTTCCTTTGTGTGAAATACCTGGTGCCCCTGCCAGTCCCTCTGCTTTCCTATTAAAGACTGACCACACTAGGCATGAGAGCACAGCGTAGACAGTTTTCTAGCTGCTCTCCACCAATGGTTAGACTTGTGCTGACACCCCCCTCCCTGCACTGCCATTCACGGGAAAACCATCCTGCAGCTGTTTCTCCTTCTCTAGCTCTCTGAGCTCCCTTTACAGCTGACAGCAGTGGAAAAAAGGTATTTTTAATGTTTTTTTAATGTGTATACATAAATGTTTTGCCTGTCATTTCTATAAGCTGAATGGGTTGTTTTACAAGGTGATGGTTTACATATACGTTAACTCTTTCCAACCCTCACCAAAACGAAAAACTTTTGGCTATACATACACTTTAAGAAACAATACAATGAAATATAAATGCGCCAGATCATTTCATTCACATTACTAAAAATATATTTTGTTTTTTTGCTTGTTTTGTCCCATAGTGGTTTTATCACCAGGTGGAAGTTCATCTAAAGAGCAAACCTCATCTTCATCATCAAGGACATCATCTTCCACCGTAATATTATCTCCATCAAGTTCAGCTGAAAGAAATGTGCCAATACAACCAAAAATAGGTAAGCATGGGCTGTAGGTTTTCACTGTTTAAACCACAAATAGGTGAATATAAGCTTTAGCTTTTCTATGTGTTAAAGCCGGGCAATTGTATTTTTTTAATTAAACTTGGACCCCAGACAAGGTAAAACGGTTCTACAAAAAGCAGCTCAGGCTGCATTACTCATCTGTAATGTCCATCAAGATACTTCTATTCTGCCACAAGATGACCTCAGTCTCCTGGAAGACTGAGAAAATACTATGAATAAATGAGTGTCATGGTACCACCCCCCGAGGATGCATTACCATGCATACCTCACTATCTGCATCCCAGTGGATCTGTTTGGGCTCTGTGATCCAAAAGTACTTGTTTCTGTAGCTTTAATGTTGTTGCAGCAATAACTAGCTATGTACATCATTGCTCACACCCTTGTGTTCCTCCTATTTCAGAGTACATCCAGGACGCACGTTGCAAGCTGCCATTAGATCAGGGTCCTTGCAGGACATACATAATAAAATGGTATTATGACAAACAAGCCAATTCCTGTGCCCAGTTCTGGTATGGAGGCTGCAGTGGTGGTAATGGTAATCGCTTTGATACAGAAGAAGAATGTAAAAAGTCCTGTGTTTACTCCCTAGATGGAGGTAATTGATCCTAATTTTTATACAAGATATTGTCATGTTTCATACACGTCCTTTTCATCTTCTATATTTCTGTATATATCCTCTTATATTTCTTATGTTATCTATTCTTTTGGGGAATCCTTCCATATGTTAAAAAGTGTATCTGAAGCCAATATTTTTATAGTTTTTGAATAGGGTAGGAATGGGTTAGAATCTCTGTCAGTTTTTAAAGCGGAACTCCACCCAAAAGGGGAAGTTCCTCTTTAAGGACTGCTCCCCGCACCCCATTAAGGATTGGCACCTTTGGGGCGCGGGCGGAGGGGAGCGGGTACCCGAATTCGACAGGTACCCGCTCCCACTTCCAGTCCTATCACGTAGGCGACCAGAAGCGGAAGGTGTCCTCCCTCCCTCCCTGTAGTCTTTTGGGACATGTGACAGGTCTCAGAAGACTACAGGATCGTTCATAAAGCGCAGCGCTACTCTTGTATGCGCAGAGGGTACCCGGCTGTGAAGCCGCAAGCTATCACAGCCGGGTGCCTACACTGAAGATGCCGGCCTCCTGGAATACAGGACGGCCAGTGAAACGGGCTGCGGGGGACACACCATGGGATCAAGGGACAGGTAAGTGGCTGTTTTTTAAATGTCAGCAGCTACAGTTTTTGTACACTGAGAGGAGGAGGAGCCTGGAGTGCCGGTGGGGGACCCCAGAAGAGGATATTTAGAATCACTCTGTGCAGAACCATTGCACAGAGCAGATAAATATGACATGTTAACTATTTTAAGAGGAAAAAAAAATTTGAGCGTTTACCATCACTTTAATTATCAATTTTGGGTCAACTGACTCTTCAGAGCTCACTTTATCTTATATTATATTGTATTGTATGTAATACATTTTTTGCCTTATTCTTTTTTTCTACAGAGAAATAATGTGGCACTTCTAGTCCTAATAAATGGTGCTACTTCTAAATCTGAAGGATTTGTTTGTAAGGACACATCTTAAACAACCCCTGAAATGTGCCTGATTTTTAATTCTGTTGTCTCTGATGATCGTAAAATGTGATTTCTGGGTTGGAAAGCTTCAGAGAACAATCACCTTCATTTTAAGATTATGGTTATCCTTATATTTCAAGGACGTGTGCTTTGTGTTCCTCCCGGAGGATGTATATCATACCACACTTTCTACGAGTCCAGGGATTATTTGTACCACGTTCAATAATAACTGGAGAATATTTGCTCGCTTCTCTCTGATGCCTACAAAAATTGACTGTTTTCTGTATTAAAAGGACCAGAAGAGAAAAAAAAATACAACTGTTTTTGCAAAAAGTCTACTAATAATGTGTATATATATATATATATATATATATATATATATATATATAAAAATGCATACCCTGTAAAGAAATTTTGAGTTGTCCTGTGACCTGTGCTCTTTGTGTTTGTCGTCACAGAGAGAGTATTTAGTTAGTCCCTATGCTGTGGATAAGAATACAGTGGGAGTGGTTTAGCAAAAGACATTGGGCAGGGCTGACACTATTGTCTCCTGTCAACCCACAATAGGAAATTAACAGCTAAGTCCATTCATTGCAGATCAACAGGTATTTCTCGCTATGTTTTATCTTTTTATAAAAGGTCTTTAAAAGGGACACAACACAGGAAAATGTGCATGTATTGCATATGACTTTTTAATTTTGCCTTGACATAGACTTTAAATCTGCTTAGTCATTGTTGTATTATACCATTGGCCATTTTAGGCACAGGGAGGCCGAATTAGGGAGACTTTAGTATGTATAGTTTAGTTCGCTGTCTGTAGAAAATTGTCTTTGCAGAGATCAGAACGTTGTTTGGCATATATTAATTTCAAATAAACTTCTGATTTTTAATAATATTATTATTATACAGGATTTATATAGCGCCAACAGTTTGCTCAGCGCTTTACAATATAACGGGAGACAATACAGCAACAATACAGTTCAATACAAGAGGGAAAGGAGGGCCCTGCTTCTTGGAGCTTACAATCTACGAAGGAGGGGCTAGTGGTACAAAAGGTAGTAACTGTGGGGGATGGACTGGTTGGAAGAGTAGAAGCTTCCATTATTAGCTGAGGGCAGGATAGGCTTCCCTGAAGAGATCGCCTAAAAGTGAGCAGAGTAGGCGATAGTCTAATAAATTTGGGTAGAGAGTTCCAGAGCATGGGGGAAGCTCAGGAAAAGTCCTGGAGATGAGCATGGGAGGAGGAGACAAGGGAGCTAGAGAGCAGGAGGTCTTGTGAGGAGCAGAGAGTACGGTTTGGGTGATATTTAGAGACAAGATCGTTGATGTAAATTGGGGCAGAGTTATAAATGGCTTTATACGTTATTGTTAATGTTTTGAATTTTATCCGTTGGTCAATGGGAAGCCAGTTGAGGGATAGGCAGAGAGGGGTGGCAGATACAGAATGGTTAGTAAGGTGGATGAGTCGGGCAGCAGCATTCATGATAGACTGAAGAGTGGATAGCCTGCGATTTGGTAGGCCAATGAGGAGGGAGTTACAATAACAATTTTAGTGCTACAATGTAGCACTAAAAAGTAGTCATAATTCAAATATTTCATCATAGTGAGCCTAAAATAATGTTTTTTAATTGTAATTATTTTATATACTGATAAGTTGTCTTACATAAACAACCTTTTATTATTTAAACTAATTAGCTAAGTATTAGACGTAGTGATTGTTACAAAAAAAACCACCAATGTGCCTCATATTGTTACTGTAGTATCTTGATTTTTATTGTTTGTACAGTTCATTTTTTCTATTATGTGTGCAGACAATGTAAATTGTAAATTGATGTTTAAAAAAGTTTGTTGTGCAAATATGCCAATTATTTGCACAGGCTCCAGAAGTCATTACCCTAATTTTCCTAATACATTTATTTCCTAGGTTTGTCAGTAGTATCTAGAGGCAATAATGAGGTATTATTCCTGATCGAGTTATTTCAAGAAAAACTTCTGCATTACTGACACTAGATGGTGTTGATGATCCTAGGAAAAAATGTAGTCAGAAACTTATCACGAAGATTTATATATTGGCACAGCAATTTTTTTATACATAGACCCATACTTTGAAAACAATGAAAATAGTTTCTTTTATACTAGGTTTAAACAACACAGGGTATATTTAGTTGTGTAGTAGATTAAAGCAGAACTCCAGCCAAAAATAATAGGGTGAAAAATGAATAGCTCATATAAAGATAAAATAACAAAACAGCCTTTCCTACAATATTAACCTTTATCACAGAAATTTCCCCGCAGTTCTTTTTTCAGCTGCTAGATGATTTTTTAAATGAAGCCATCAAACATTTCAAAGTTCAGGCCAAGATCAGTTTTCACAACATATGATATACGTTTTTTTCTGTGTACCTATCTGATTTGCTTTCATGTGTTATTTGGGACTTGACTTCCCTGACTTCTGAGCGAAATCCTGCCATCTGCCTACTCTCTTTCCAAGAAGAGTTTCCTTAATAGCCACTCAAGTGCTCCCATTGGACAGAGGAAATGCACTTAGGCAGGGCTTAGACCAGAAGTCTGAACCCAAAACTGGGGTACTATTCCTGCAGGTTGCAGGCAGAATGGAGTACCAGCGACATCCAGGACCAACACCTGGTTGAAATGTAGCTATTAGAAACTGAGAGGTATGCCTGGTGGAGTATATCTTGCAGTGTTCATCAGCTGGCCCCTGAATCACACTCCTATATACATTTCATACTTAGACCTTGCTCCAACAGTTATTTTATCTGTCTTTTAACAATGCCAAAGAACACTTACTATTTCATATAAAACAACATGTAGTTATAATTTGCCCAAAAATACATATTTCCAGTATTAGCACCACTATTTGTAAGTTTTGCAGCTAAACATTTTTTAGAATAATGCAATTTCAATAACATGCAATGTTAATTTGTATTTTTTTAATATATCATTAAAATGTTCCGTGATGGAAATACTAAATTGTTTGGGTTTGTTTTTGTCTTCTCTTCATCATTATCAATATGTTCGAGCAGGAGACGCTAGCAGCATTATAACCATTGGCAACATTATAGCCAATCAACTGTAGCCTGGCAGTGGTAAGGTAATGGAATGCACACACCTGTGTTGGATAAATAAATACCTAAATTGCATGCACTTGGAAAACTGCGAAAATACAGGAGTTGGACAAAATTATGGAAAAAAAATGAAATCGTTATCTAATATAGTTTTGGACCACCTTTGGTATCCAGACAGTCTGAATTATCCTGGAAATTGACAAATATAAGTCTTGGATGGCGGATGATGAAATATGATGATACCCTTCATGCAAAAATTGTTCCAGTTCTCGCAGAGATGCTGGAGGTGGAAAGCAAGCCTGAACCTTTTTCTCCAAAATTGACCATAGTGGCTCTATGATATGGAGGTCTGGCGACTTTGGAGCCCAGGGAAGGAGCAAGACTTCGTCTGCATGCTTGTCAAGCCACGATTTGACAACACCAGCTTTGTAAATTGTAACCTTATCGTCTTGGTTAATGGCACTGTCTTCAGGAAACAATGTCCACCATGGGGTCACATGGTTGGCCAAAATGTGCACATAGTTGCTGGCAGTGATTCTACCTTTCAAGGTGATGATGGGCCTGAATATACCAAGATATGGCTGCCCAAACCATGATTGCTCTGCCACCATGCTTTACCATTGGCACAAGACAGTTCTGGTCGTAGGCTTAGGACAATGTTCGCCACACATAAACACATCAGCTGGTTGGGAACAATGTGAAGCTCGATTCATCAGACCATATTACAGTCTTCCATTGATTGATAGTCCATGGGTTATAGGTGTTGCACCACTCTCTCCTCTTCTGATTAATATCAGTCACTAGTGGTTTGGCAATTGCAGCTCGTCTGTTTGAGCTCTGCAATCACTTTTGCAGCAGTTATTTTCTTATTCTGTGTCACAATCCTGCGCAATGTTCTTTTGCCTCTTTCGGTCAGTTGACCATATTGACCAGGCTTATGCTCATCAGACTAC